TATTTTTGGAGGGGGTCGACAATTTTTGGAAATCTTTTAGACAACTATTTACCACCCACTCTCTATTACTTTTTGATTCAGGACTTCTGCAAGCCCCTTATAAATTTGTTGACGGACAAATGGAAAGCCGGGCTTTCACAATAGCTTAGTATTTGTGTATGTTTTTACGAGAAGACAAATTTTGAAATATATTTTTCCCCGGGGCAAAGCCCGGTACTTCCTGCTAGGTCTCCATAAAACAAACCCACAGCACCTTTCCATTCACAGAACAAAATTCTAGGAAAGAGCTACAAACGTGACCTCGCTATCACATATACATTTGTGATATAGAGATAAGGCGCTTGAGGAAACACGTTGTTAGCAGCTGTACAAATAAGCCATGTTTTGGCCAGTTGCTCAAAAACCACACAAGCTGTACAACTTTCTGCCGTCTGGCTTCATAATATTTTGTTTTTACGAACCCCCCTCCCACACCCACCGGCCTTGACAACAGCAGTGTGTCTGTGCGATCGAAATGTGATAATCTGGAAGAGGATGGGATTATACATTCTAAACGCAATATAGAAACACGTGGTTCCACACCAACAGTTACTTAATGGGGGGGAAAAAACTCCAGCCCTGCGCTTTCAAAAGATTCGACAGACACAAAAAGCACGGGAAAACGTGTCCGAGTGCGATAAGGGCACTGGTTTTAAACGACGTAACGTAAACGATTACGGAAAGTAATCGTTAAGCGTCGTTGCGAAATGTCATGGTAAAAAACTTTTTTTTTACACATCCCATCAGCTGATGCACGGCCTTCTGCTGATAATCAGATGGACTTCCCACAACTGGCCACGCAGGGAGAGGTTTGTATAAACTTTCCATACATATTTTATCTGGAGACACAAATAAAGGTGGGCCAGAACCCGTTTATATATCAACTATTAAAGCTATAAACTAATTTTATTTGACCAGGTAAGGCTTACCGAACTCTATCGCTCTATTTCAGCTCAACGAAGCGGCTTGTCACATAAAAATGCATTGCAGGAAATTACTCTTAAAAGTATATTGATTCTAAATGAGGGTGGAAAAAAAACCGGGGACCCGGAGAAAAATCCGCACGACCATGGGGAGAACATGCATATAGGTGTCAGGGTCGGGATATATCACTTGCCACTGACGTTAGCCGTGGCCAGGAACCACACTCGGGTAGCCAGGTTCATTTTGCCCGCTGCGTCACCACTCCACGACTCGACAGAAATGCAACTCGCGCAACTAAGAGGAGACGCGTATGAACGTGAGAAGGGGGCACACAAATGTACCGCCGGCCAACAAGTGACCCACTCTTGTGAACCAACGTCACAGCCTTGTTAACAGCCACCTGAAAGCAGAGGGCACACACATGCAGTTGAATATGTCCGCACCACACACGCGCACACACACGCAGGTAAATGTGCAGCCCTGAAATGCATTTCTCGTGCCACTACCATAGGAACAGCCTCAACTAGTGGGAGCTCTGGAGAGCCCTTCAAGAGGGTATTTTAGCCTCCTCTTCCACACCGACTAAAACGCCTAGGGGGATTACCCAAACTTGAATCCACCGCACGCGACCTACCAATCAACACTCTATCAATGACAGTTATACATCTCAATAATTACAACTTTGCAGCGGGAATTATCCTGTGGCTATACGGACTCGACCTGGAAGAACCATGGTCTCAGTCAAGGCAATAGATGAAAAGCCCCGAAGACTCGACCCTAAACTGGTTTAACGTGAAACATTCCGAGGTTGTGTTGAAAGCTTGTCTTGAGAGTAATTAAATATACAGACCGAGCATTGGTTACCACCATCTCCAACACTGCATTATAGAGTTACATGGTATAATAAGCCTGGTGTTTCAGACAACAGACCTTATTCAGAGCACGCTAAGGAGATGGTAGGCACAAACATATGTATAGTGTCGCCTGGCATATCCGTGCATGCAAACAGCCCCTTTGTCAAGCTACCACTGGAACGAGGGTTTCCACACACAGGTCAGAGTTATTCTTGACCATACTTCACCACACTGGTGACTGTAGTGAGCACGGACGTTGGAGTATAATTGGGAGCGTGCGTTTCTCAAAGGGGGTGAATTTGGAAGACATTACACTTGGTATTATAACTTTTCCCTCGACATTGTCAACGTGGTAGCTGCGCAATTTTAAGCGGGGGGAATAATCACACGTAAGGCTTCGCACGAACATACACGAGTTTAAACCATTACGTTTGAACCGAATCCTATATATTCGATTGAGGCATCGCTTTGCTGACAAAAAAGTCACGTGACTTACTCGTGTCAAAAGCCCCTGATGCAGTGTTGGAAATTCCACATTCCTATGGCGGGGGAAGGGGGGTGGCGTGTGTGTCCATAGGACAACCACTGTTGGCTTCCGCCATGAAGCGTTACTCATTTTATCACCCCTGGAGAGTTGATGGGCCAAGTCGACCAGAGTCTTAACCCGCAACATTCTGATTGCGAGCAGCGCCCCCTCTCTCTCTGTCTCTCTACCCCTGAGCCACCTCGCTCAAGACGCTCCCAATGAAGCGTCACACTTTGGGTTAACCATCTCGTAGCGCCCCGGCTCTCCTTTTTAAAACTGCGTAGTTTGCGCGGGGGACACTGCCAGTGATGACAAACATTACACAATCTCAGCCTTCTGTTGCCAATCCACTGCTGGATTCGACCACGATTGACGCTGGGCAGTACGGGTTACTGAATGCGCGCGCGCGGCGGGGGTGAATAGACGTTGGATCATCGTGCAGTACAACGGATTTGACTGCGCTGTGCCACAACGATTTCGGCGAGTGGCCCATCTAAGCATAATCCACACTCAACCCTGCTTAGCGTCCGAGATCTATCGAGATTTGGACGCAATTCGGGGTGATTTGTCCACAAGCAAAAGCGAGGCAAATAAATAAAAATAAACTTGGTTGGTGGCTCACGACAAGACGGGAGACGCCGTTGAACGCATTACCCCCCCCCCACCGACTAGTAGGGGCCTTCTGCGACGCTCATAGCAAGAAGCACAGCAAGCAGATTTGACGGATTGAACAAACATCATAGGGGACATCCATTTAGTCCGTACGCATGGAGGGGGGATTAACCCAGATGCGTACGCGTGCGTATGGGGGGGGGGGGTCTACTGCCAATGTACGCATAGGAAACGGGTGGGGGGGTGGGCGGTGAAGCCTCGATAATAATTTGTCTACATTGGCCTTCAAATGAGTTAGATGGCCCGGCGGTGGACTGTCTGTTTGCTTAAACGCGTCAATATTAGTATTATTAATCCTTGATCGTTTCTGCGTGCGTTAAATATCGGCCGTTCTATAGGATTTGCTGGGTGGGTGGGAGGTCGTCAAGCGTACGTAGGCAGGTGGGGGTGTGTGTACAGGTAGAGGCGGCGCGGGGGGTCAAGTTGACAATATTTTTTTGCGTACCTACTAAATAGACGGCCCCGTAACGCATCATCATCATCCTCCTGCAAAGGACATGCCCGACGCAGCAGCCAGACTGCACGTTTATGGCAATTCGCTTCGGCTGTCACCGCCTGTCACACTTCACTCTTGCTGAGAGGGGTAGTGGCCGCGTACCACAGGTTAAGAAGAGGGCTGGACACACGTCTTGAAACCCCCCCCCCCCCATCGCACGCGCGAACCTGCCGACGATTTGCAGAGCGGTGTGTGACCATTTTGCATAGCCGGGTGGACAAGAAGGATCCCCGTGATGGGGAGATTGGGGAAGGGGGAATTCGCGAAATTTCACCATTTGCTTTGACTTCCGTGAATGGGGAACCCGAATTGACGACTTCTGGATTTCAAGGCCACAGTGCAGCTCACCCTTTATAGCGCGGCACGAGCGGTTTAACAACATTGTTACATTCCACTGTTACTCTGGTTTCAGTACAGTACGCGTGTCGGCTAAACAAGTGGGCGGCTTTCGCGACCAAATGTTATCCACAACCAAGTTTGTTTTGGGGTTCCATCGCGTAGAAAAATGTGTCGTTGAACCCGCCACCGCCCGACACAGTCAACTAGTAAGGTTTGTCACGTAAACAAAACGTGCCAATTAGTTACTACGTCAGCACACCGGTGTGTTGGAAAATAAACCCACAACATTTTCGCGTGTTTTTTACACCACAAATCTCACTTTCTCCCTAAGGCTACAAGACCAGGATTATGTAGGCATGACACACACACCTAGTACCGGATTGTAAGGCGCACCAGCCCAACTTCTGTTTTACATACCTGTGCCAACCACCCCCTTATCAGTGCCCTAACTTATCACAGAACAATTCAGACCTTATTGGTTTACCCCGCGCCCCTTATAAATCTCAACGTTCATCCTACAAAGTCCCATCACAAGGCAGTAAACACAAATAAAGACATTTTTTGGGGCCCGTATTGAAACGGCTGTACGCCGTATGGACCTAAAAAATCCAATTGACCTTTGGGTTGAGAGCTATGGGTTTTAAAACGCTGGGGGAATAGTTCATTTTACAATCCAGGGTAGAACGGGAAGTTGGTAATGCAGTACACATACGTGACAACGTATGGTTTACGTGCATTTTTACACACAATGCATACAAAGTGGTTATACACAACAACGTTGTATACTCAAACTGAAATAACCCTAATGTTGTTGTTGTTGCGGTGGCCCCTATCCTCATCGTACGTTGTATAAGTAGACGTGTGTTAAACATTACCGTATAACTTACTAACACGAATCGGGCGCTAAAACCCGCATATCAGTACGGTATAATCACCATCAGCGACAACAGCCATCTACCGCAACTTAACACAAATAACCCCCCCCCCCCACCTGCCTTTCGAATTGAGACCGACGTGCAACAAATTAATGTTTACATTTATGGCGATAATAAGAACGGCGGCACCGAAGGGGTGCCAGAGACCACAACACCACCAGGGGCCTACTCAGGCGCCTCGCCTAGGGCACGCAAAGCCAACGGGAGTTTCGTACCGCAACTCAAACTCGCCTTTCACACTTCTCTTCCGTCTGCGTCGACCGCCTCAACTTTTAATTTCGCCTCCGAAGTCGTCGTCGTCGTTTTTATTTTTTTGGGGAACGCTTCAAGCCAGCGGTAAAATCCCTCGGCTCGCCAACCTCATCCGTCACCCACCACCACCACCGCCGCCGCCGCCACCACCGACTCAGAGCCGCGGCCACCACCGAGAAGCGGCCGCCTCGCGCGTTACAAAACCCTAGCGCGGATAGACACGCCCCGCGCCCGCCTCGACCAATCGCGTCAAGTTGCGCGCGCCGCCCCCCCCCCCCTGTTTTTTGTGGATTCCCCCCCCCCCACCGCGTCCGCCTCGACCAATCGCGTCGCGTTGCGCGCGCCACCCCCCTTTTTTGTGGGTTCCTCCCCCCCCCCGCCTCGCACCCCCGAATGGGCAAAGCAGCCCGCGCGCTGGCGGAGGAGGCTGCGTACGCGGGCTACGAAATGTGAAGCTGAAGTGGCGGTGACGTAATTGTGGGGGCGGGGGTGTGCGGGAGGGGGTGGGGGGAGCGGTGGGGGAGCGGTTAGCGCAGACATGGGCAGAGTACGGCCCCCGGGCCGCATACGGCCCATTGGGCTTTTTAATCCGGCCCGCCGAACTTGTCCAAATATTATTATTATTATTAAATTAAATTTCACCTTTCTCCTGTAATGCCCCCATTTCCCCATTAGATGGCGCACTTTGACCGGGAGTGTGGTGTATAGGGCTCGAAAGGGCACATGATCTCGCAATGCATTGTGGGTCGTCAGTGCCACTTGCAGGGTTTGTTTATATTTCTGAGTTAGATACGGCGCTCCCTTCACTTTTTCGCTTTGCCCTGTGAGCCCTTCTGTAAAATGAGCGGATCAAGGAAACGAAAAGTGGACAATGAGTGTCGAGTGTTTAACACGGAGTGGACAACAAAATACTTTTTCACTGAAGTCCAATCGAAGGCTGTATGCCTGATATGCCGAGAAACTGTCGCGGTTTTCAAGGAGTACAACATCAGCCGTCACTTTGCTACGAAGCATGCTAAATACGCTAGCAAGCAGTCAACGCAAGAACGGGCGGCTACGGCTCAGAGGTTGGCAGCGGCTAATTTACAGACTCAGCAACATTTTTTTCACCGACAAACTGCGATTCAAGAGTCAACTATCAAGGGCAAGTTTTTCGGTGGCATTCGAAATAGCAAAGGCTAGCAAGCCTTTCTCCGAAGGCGAGTTTGTAAAAGAATGCATGGTACAAGACAGCAGGCATCTTGTGTCCGGAGATCAAAAGCAAATTTGAAAAAGTCAGTTTATCACGCAGGACTGTGACTCGCCGTGTGGAACTGATTGATGAAAATATAGCCAGCCAATTAAACAAAACGTCTGATTCCTTTGAGTTATATTCACTAGCACTGGATGAAAGTACGGACGCAAAAGACACTGCTCAGCTCCCCATTTTTTATCCGAGGCATTGACGACAGTTTTGCGATAACGGAGGAGTTTTTGACCATGGAGTCCCTGAATGGAACAACGCAGGGAGAGGACTTGTATAACCAGGTGTCTGCTGTCATCGAGAAGAATGAAGCTACCTTGGAGTAAACTTGTCAATGTCACAACGGATGGATCGCCAAAATTTAACTGGAAAAAAATGTTGGGCTGCTGAAAAGAATCCGGAATAAAGTGAAAGAGGAAAACCCTGACCAGGATCTTATTTTCCTTCACTGCATCATCCATCAGAAATCCCTGTGCAAGTCTGTATTGCAGCTTAGTCATGTCGTGAATCCAGCCGTAAAACTTGTTAACTTTATACGAGCAAGGGGACTTCAGCACGGTCAGTTTATTACGTTCCTGGAGGAAACTGATGCGGATCATCAGGAATTGCTGTACCACTCTCGTGTCCGCTGGTTCAGTTTGGGGAAAGTGTTACAACGAGTGAGGGAGCTGAAAGAGGACATCATCGCATTTTTGGAGTTGATGGGGAAATCTGACGAATTCCCTGAGCTAAGCGACAAGAACTGGCTTAGTGACTTTGCATTTGCTGTGGACATATTTTCACACATGAATGAGCTGAATGTGAAACTGCAGGGGAAAGATCAGTTTGTTCACGACATGTACAAACATGTGAAAGCCTTCAAATCCAAGCTCACTTTGTTCTCCAGACAAATTGCGAACAAATCTTTCGCTCATTTCCCCCACACACTTGCCATGCAGGAAGAGGCACCGCGAAACGCAAAAAAATACAGCGAATCACTTGAGGACCTGCACGGAGAAATCTGCCGTAAGTCACTTCAGCTGGTGTCCTGTCCCCTGTCACAAGACTCTGAAACAGCACCACAGGAGCTGCAGTTGGAACTGATAGATCTTCAGTCTGACTCCGTCCTAAAGGATGAGTTCAACTCTCTTAAACTGAATGACTTTTATGCTTCACTTAACAGAGCCACGTTTCCAAACCTCTGGAGGACTGCACAGAAGATGCTGACTTTGTTTGGCTCGAATTATGTGTTGTGAGCAGACATTCCAGCGTCATGAACGCCAACAAAGCCCGTCACACAGATCAAAGTGAACGGATCAGCACCTCAGATCTATCCTGAGAATTGCCACAACCAAAATAACTCCAGACTTGGATGCACTGGCAAAAATGGGAGATCAACAACACTGTTCCCACTGAAACTGACGGTGATGATGCGTTGCTGCAGCGAGGTTGGAGCCAAATCTCCGACACACAGCCTGCTTGGCTGCTCCGACCTGTTAATGTAGATAATAAAGAAGTGCAAGTGAGGTCATTATTTGGGCGCAGGCCTCAGATGTTTTCATGATGTTTGATCAGTCACGTTACGACATGTTTTTTGTACTGTTCATGTTCGTGCAATTTGTTAAATTGCCTTGCAAATAAATGCTTTGCTACCTGTTCAAGGCCAAATCCTTTCATGTAATGATTTTTAACACGTCATTTATATTAAGTTCACACAAACACTCCATCCATCTGTTCCTGGCCCGGCCTCTCTGCCAAATTTTAGAACCCATTGCGGCCCGCGAGTCAAAAAAATGTGCCCACCCCTGGGTTAGCGCTACGCTGCGTACCAGACCTGGCCACCCGAGTTCGATTCCCGTTCAGGGCTAAGAACACCGGCGAAGATGATCCAAACCGGTCCTGGGCCTCCCCTAGTTCGACTCGGTCTCAAATGAGTACTTGGTCGCGGTGTGTTAAAGTCGTCACTGGGGAGACAAAGGCGGCCGGGCGTGGTGCTGGCCACCCACCTCCTCGTGTGCCGTGCCGGCCTTCATAGGTGCTCGCTAACAGCACTTGCCCCTACAGTCTGTTAAGGCTACACGGGGGATCTTTGTCTTTGTGTGGGGGAGCGGGGGAGCGGTTAGCAGCAACAAACCTGGCGGTCCGAGTTTGATTCCCGCTCACGGCTAACACCGGCGACTATTATTATCTGGGCCTCCCCTAGGTTGACTCGGCCTCAAATGAGTACCCGGTGTGTGAGTGGGAGGAGGGAGGAGGGAGGGAGGGAGGGGGGAGGGAGGGAGGGGGGAGCGGTGGTGACCGGCTCCGGTTTGAACAGCAGGAGGTCTCACTCCGAATGAGTCGGGCGGTTTTATCTTTTCACCGGCTGCGCAAATTTTTGAGCTATAAAACTTTTTTTCCTGTGCCACCGATGTCCGCTATGGTGATGGCACGGCATTTGGTCGCACGAGCACGCGGAGCAAACAAACGCAACACGTCCACGTGGCCTTCACAGGCAAACAATAAAAAAGGATGTGATAACAGACGACGTTTTGGGCTATGCTTCTTCTTCAAATCAAAGCACATGCGTAGAGTTGCCAGAGAGGTGGAGTGGACAAGAGTTGCGTTTTAAGTAGGGCCATTAGCCGGAACGTCGCCAAATTGTATTTCAACATTTATTTTAGGAGCCGTCCATAAATGACGTCACGCACCTACCGGGGGGGGGGGGGGGGGTCAGACATTTGTGACGTCGTGTGACGAGGGGGGTTTGAGAAATGTGACGTCACATAAAAATGCGCAACTGTAAATATAGACAACACGTTCTACTTAATGAAATAGACTTTTTAATAAATGTTTTCTCCTACATCAGAGTGCAGCGTCACTTTAAATACGCGCTACAATGACAATAGTTTAAAGCAGGGGTCGGGAACCTATGGCTCGCGAGCCAGATGTGGCTCTTTTGATGATTGCATATGGCTCGCAGATAAAACAAAATATTCTCACTTGTTTTAATCCATCCATCGATTTTTCACTGCGCATGTCCTGTTCAGGGCTGCAGGAGCAATTGTCCATTATTTTAATTGGATGATACTGGCCTACGTTTGCCGTTGCTGGGTAAAACAGGTAAACGCCCCCTTTTGAATCAGTCTGAGACTGCGTCTGCTCGGTCATTAGCTCAAAGCTAACCCTTCGACGAAGAAGATGGCGAAAAGAAAAAAAGACGACGAGTATCGTACATTTCAGGACGAATGGACCGAAGAATTCGCCTTTGTGGAGAGAGCGGGTTCTGCGGTGTGTCTAATTTGCAATGACAAAATTACATCGTTGAAACGGTCGAATGTAAAGCGGCACTTCGACACGCGCCACGCTACCTTTGCATCACATCAAAATACCCTGCGGGAGACAGCAGAAAGAAAGCGTGCCAAGAGCTTCTGAGCAGGGTGCAAGCTAGCCAGCAGCAACTCCGCGTATGGACCCGGCAAGGTGACTATAATTCGGCTAGCTTTGCTGGTTCTTTAGCAATAGTGAGGAACGGAAAACCATTCACAGATGGCGAGTATGCTAAAACGTTCATGCTGGATGTAGCCAATGAACTTTTTGATGATCTTCCGAACAAAGACAAGATAATCAAACGGATACAAGACATGCCTCTGTCGGCAAGAACTGTTCATGATCGTACCATCGTGATGGCAAACAAAGTGGAGGAAACGCAAGTGAAGGACATAAATGCAGCGCCGTTCTTTTCTCTGGCTTTGGATGAGTCAACAGACGTGAGCCATTTGTCGCAGTTCAGCGTGATTGCAAGATATGCTGTTGGTGACACACTGCGCGAAGAAAGTCTTGCTGTTCTGCCATTAAAAGGGTCCACAAGAGGTGAGGATTTATTCAAGTCTTTCATGGAGTTTGCTCAAGAAAAAAGTCTACCTATGGATAAACTTCTCTCAGTGTGTACTGATGGTGCTCCGTGTATGGTGGGGAAAAACAAAGG